TAAGCATTTCCAGCTCTCTGCCAGTGTGAGCAAAGCAAAATCCAGTCACCCAAGGAGAGCCCTTAAATGAAATGCCCAACAACAGATAGAAGCTTTTAGAAATGAAAGCCTGGGGTGGGGCATCAAAAACAGAGCAGGGATGTTGTGCACCTCAACTTCCTCTGATGTACTGACCATAGCATCTTGCTTAATGACTACAGTGAAAGTGCTTAGAAATTAATCATAGGATTGCCTGAATATTAAGGACCAGGTCAGAAAATACCTTATCACTTTCACCTTACTGTTCTGGAATCCCATTTGCCATGGCATGAAAAGCCTTTTCTTTTAAAAGACTGGAAAAGACATGGTGCTTGGCACGACTCTGCACCAGAAATCAGAACTATGTTAGTCTCATGGTCCCATTAGAGTCCACAATGGCATTTCATGACTTCGAATAAAGTCATGAAGCTGTATCTCTTGCTCAGAACAAGTGACACAATTTTTATGTTCTTAGAAGAGACAGTAAATGTTTTTGTTAACACACAGAGAAAAGTAAGAAAAAGAACCCACAATAATAAAAGAATCAGATTAGCCAAAGGTTGTCTCTCTCTGACTCCAGCAATGGCCATGACCTTGTCATGAAGCATGGGTGGGGCACCATTTCATCAAACAAATTCACTTTATGCTTCTTAAAGGCATATTTATTAAAATAAAAATGCATTAAAAACAAGCTTTTGGAAATATAGTCCTTAGTGTTATTTTACTTCATCAAATGGTACTATGGCAATGATTCTGCCATACATAGCAACTAGTTTCTCTGTAAAGAGCTGGCATTTTCAAATGCTATTTATTATGAATTTTAATTTTTCATCAAGAAGTCTTAAGCATGAGAAATGAAGCAGATAAGGTATTTTATTTCCAATTCTAGCTGTATTTTAAATATTTACATATGATTTCAGTTTATATACACATACACAAGCTAGATTCCTTCTTGGTAAAATCACCAAGTACATATTCAGGAACACTAATTTTAGGGTGATAAAATGTATTTATTTGCTTTCTTATTGAATTTGATAATAAATGAGTACTAAAGATCATGAAAATATTTTTTCTAGAAAATATTCAAGCATATGAGGATATCTACATATTAGTGAAGTAATTAAGCCTGATATCAGCTTTAGGTGCCCATCAAATGAATGATCTGAATGTGTTGCTCTGAGTAAAAAAAAAAAAAAAAAAAAAAAGTTACAATTCTTTTCTATCCAAAGACTAACAATTCATTTATATTATCTGTAACATTAGTTTTTATTATAGCTGAGAAATTATTATGTCACTCATAAATGTCTGAGTCCACTCAAAACCGCCTCACCATTTGGAAAATCCATGGTGGGTTTCGTGGGGGCATAGTAGACCATATTTTCCATTTAACAATGCTGCTGGTAAAACCAGCTGCCCAGTCTTGCTGTTAGTGACTACAGTACACATAGCAAAAACAATCTGCCTGCTGACCTCCTGCTCAAGTTCAAACTATGTCATTCTGTCAATACCATCTACCTTGATTAGGTTGGGCTTTATACACAACAGGTTATGATCCCAGAGGGATGAAAAGCTTTCCCAAATTAAAAGCAGAATTTTAAAAGGAAATACTCATACATTCCTATGCAGTTTCCATTTGATATCCTCAAGGCTGGCCCAGGAACTCAAGCTCATGTTGATTGAAAATGAATGTTTCTTTCTGGGTGTAGCCATCTTGCAAATTTAATGGAAGGAGGAAAATATTAAAATGTGTTCCATGCTTCAATTAGACATTTTATAACTTGGCACTTCAAAGGTGGCAATGCCAAAGAAAAATCATTAATCCATAAAAAGAGACAAAATGGACTGTGCAGAAGACAGACCTGCAGGAGTCCAGTGCTTTGGCCAAGCACACCCTCTCACCAAGTATCTTTGGTCTTGCCTCATTATGAGTCTTCTCTCATACTTCATGCTATTTGGATAAAAATATATACTGTATTTGCTTCTAAAATCTAAAGTAATACAACCATGCTTTCAATTTTATCTTTAGCCAAAGGAGCTGTATACATAACCAGACAATAAAATGTTGGCTAGGCATGAAATGCCTATTCATGCACATGGATGATAGATGAAAGAACACACATACACACACAGAACCGCAAAAACAGTCAAAAGATGCATCCTTCCAATTTGCATTTTGCAGTAGTTTGCAACAGACTTGCTCAAAAGGACCACAGCCTTTCATAAACCCAGTCCAGAGATAACTGTAGACACACAAATGCTATAGCCTAAGCACTTCAACTCACAAGAGTAAAGTGATAGAGCAATGTTTGGAGCATTCATGGCTCTCCCAAACCTCTGAACTCATTTTCAAGTGATGTGAACTGTCACTGACAGAATGCATAAATTAGCTAAGAGCCAAAGAAGCAAGAGATTTCACCACTCTTTGACCCCCCTCATACCTAATATGTCAGTACCAAACCTCAAACTAGCCCACTCTGTTTTCTTCCCTGTTCCAAGTCCAGCAGTTCCATCATTGCTGAAAATTATTACCTATAATCACATTTTGGGGTCCATCCCTAGTTCGTGTTAACTTTAGCAAGGACCCAAACTACCTCACAAATACTTTAATCTCAAATTGACTGCTTTTAAGTTGTCCACCTGCTTTTAGTCTTCTTTGCAACCTCAAATTTTATTTATTTATTATTTTTTTTTAATTAGTTGCTCAAGCAACACCAAATTTTAGAAAACGTGGTTTGCTTCTGTATCCTCAACAAGTGGTTATTCCTTGACTCCTAAGGCCTGGTTCCTCTCTCTACTACTGAAATGAAACTATACTGTAAAATTTGCCAAAGACTTCTCCCAACCAATCATCAGATCTTATGGAGCAGTTTCAAGCTTCTCCTTTATGGATGTTCCACACATGAAGAGTCCTTCTGGAAACTCTACTTATGTCTTCTCTACTCTCACCACTATTCCTCCATTCCACCTCCACCTGCCCCAGCTCTTCTGGCATTTCTTCTGTCTCTCTTCTTGGTGTTGTTGGTTGGTGATAGTTCTCCCCCTTCCATCTCCTAATTCTTTAAATTCTGGGCTCTGTGAAAATTCTTCTAATTTCTTACTCTACCCCTGACAACTCTTCTCAGTACTAAACTCCTATTTTCAAGGACTGTTATAAATCTTCAGAAGAAGTCTGCTAACATTTTAAAGTCAAAATAAATCATTCCAAAACAATCACTGTAACCTTATTCCAACCAATCTTTCAATGTCCTTCTTAATTCTCTTAATACTACACCCTTATTCTCAGTCACAAACCTTGGCATTATCTCGACTTCCTTCTTTACCCACTCATACACTTTCTGTGAATTTTATTCCCACAATGTTTCTTGACTCACAATTCTACTCCATTGCCACCAACCTAGCTTAAAACTTCCCCACTTTTCAGCTGGATACTTATGGCAGCCTTCGAAATGATCTTCTATCCTCTTACTCTCGTAAGAAAAGGGGGAAAAACCTTCCCAAGATCTAATTTTGGTTATTGAATCACAGAATATTCCTACATAAGACCTTCAAGAGTCTCAAGTGCCTAAAGATCAAAGTTCTTAGCATGACCCTGTTCCCATCACCATCTTTAAGTTTTATGATCATAAACTACCAACTATTCACACATTTTTGATGCAACATTTTCTCGTGAATCTCCTTAGCTAAAATGCTCTTCTTCTCCATCTTTGCCTATTGAATTTCATTTAATTTTCAAGATCTAACACCCCAACCTAATACTCTAGTTAGTTGTTTACATATGTTCAGCCATGATCTTTTTCATCTTTTCATCTGCACAGAGAGAAGCTTGCTGCCTCACATTTAGTAGGGTGGCTAACTCCAGCCTACTGTGTTCTTGAAGACTTATCACATTCATTCTGGAATCCTAGAAGTATTCCCCAACCCAAACTCACCATAAACCCCCATTGTGGTGTTTGCTTACACTATCCTGTGTTGTTTAACATACATTATATTTTATATAACTATTTGGTTATATTTTGTCATATTAAATCAGATTAGATCTCAGAAGCTAAGCACCTTTACTTTTTCATTACTCATACACAGAGGTTTGATTGATAGTTTTCAAAGTGAGGCTCCCAAGCCAGTAGCATCAGTATCACCTTGGACCTTATTGGAAATAAAATTTGGGATGGTGGGGGGTCCTAACTCAGAACTAACTGAATCAGAAACTCTGGGGTGGGCCTGTAAATCTGTGTTTTAACAGCCCTCCAGGTGATTTTAATATATGGAACAACTGTGATAATATTTCATGACCAAAGGATAATTTATCTAATTTATGTGTTCTGAAATGCATACAAGTTTTGAAGAGGTAAAGAATAATTAAGAACCACAGATGGCAAAGAACCTTTCAAATAAACATATGAGTAAACTGTTTACCTTTTATCATTTAATGTTATATTGTCATATATTCTTCTAAAACATTAAAAATACGAGCAAATGATCTGTTATCAATATCTCAAATCTAACTTGCACATTTTGAAGGGATTAGAGAAATTGTGACATAATATAAAAGTTCAAAATAAGATAAACAATAGATTAGGCATGCATAAATAGTTTTTCAATTTATCTAACAACAAAAAACAAGGGAATAGTAATCACAGAATTCAAGATAAGGTTAAGTCCAGGGACAAGTAGATGAAGAGGTAAGGAGGAACATAAACATAGACCCAAGCCATTAGTACTATTCTGGGTCCTGAACTAGGTAGTAGATTCATAGTAGGTTCACAGATGGTCATTACACTACTGAAATTAATTAGTTTATTAATTAATTCAGGTCATGCATTGATCAAATGGTGAAATATTTCAAGATCAAAGAAATAGTAACATAATTATATGCACTCTAACATGCTTAAAAATTTTAAAGAGATAAATAAGAATTAAGACATGTCACAATTGTATCCCTAATATTTTTCTTAACCACTGATTATGATGAATGTTAACTGTACCTGTGTACGGTTGAATGCCACTCTTGCAAAGACAGCTTGGGATACACTGGCCCTCTTCAGCTCATCTCTAACTTGCTGGTAGATATCTGGAGAGACTTCCACAGAAGAGTTGGTTGGCTCTGGCTTAACTGCTCTAGGAATTGGTGGATGGTTCAGGAACTGCTGGTTGATGGCTTGAGGATGCTGGTGAGCCAGGAGCCGACTAACGGCAATCTGTTGGTTTATCAGATGGGCCATGGCAATTTGTTGCCTGACAAGTTGTGGACTGAGCTGTGGGGAAAGAAGACCAGGGCTCATGATGGGCTGTAACGCGGGCACTTGATTTCGGATTGGAGTACTGTGGTGGATTTGGCTATGAGGAGACTGTTCGTTGGTTTTCCCCAGGGATGCCAGCTGGTTCATATTTGGTAAATGCATTGGACGCTGGCCCAGAACACAATAGTCTGAAAGGTTTTCTCGTTCCACTCTTTCCACTGTTAAGAGATAAAAGTGATAATTTGTATTACTTTCATTGTTAAATTTATTGTTAATATAAAGAGTTCTGAACTATTACATTTTTGGTAAATTCATGATACAAACTTTTTTCAAACAAAGCTGGAAGCCCCCAGAATAAAAGTGCTATTTTTTTCTGGGAAAATGTTACAATAGCTGATTTTTTTTCATAGAAGATATGAAAGTAAAAACTTTCAACTTTCTTGAAGCTTTAAAAGTAAGCATTTCATTGAGTATCAAAGACAGAAGCCACACCATTTCAAATTCTAAATTCGCTCATATTCCCACGCTCTATCATCTCCCCTCACTCACAATCATGAGTAATATAAAAGAACTAGTTATTCTTATCTTTTGTAATTCATCATCAGTGTAATTCATGTATAGCACATGGTCCCCAGGAAACAACCAGAACAATAACCCCCTTCTCAATTAACTGCTACCTTGTAATAAAAATCTCATATAAATACTATTATACCACTATGGATATTTTCATAGAAAATGTCTACTGTATAATATACCCATTTACCTCATTTGCTATTGCTTTTACAGGAATGTTTAAGAAATGAATTTTTCAGTGATTGTGATATGCATTGAGATAAAAAAGAAATTTCATAAAATTCATAATAGCACCTTGAATTGTCATTGAATAAGGTTAACCCAATACCATGCCAAGAGAAATAAGCCAAATTCAGAAATTCAAGGGTTGAATGTTTTCTCTCATATGCAGAAGCTAAAGTAAAATAACAAAAAGGGAGAGGGAAGCTAGGATAACATAAAGAACCAATCAAATATAAATTAATAGACAAGGAAAAGGAAATCTAGTAGAATAGAGGAAGAAGATTGGGAGAGGGGAAGGAGGATGGGAGGATAAACAGGGAAGGAAAATGGGGGAGTCATGAACTTAAATCAATTTCCATGATTATATGAGTTTGTAAGGATGAACCCAACTATCATGTGTAACTATAAAGCTCTAACAAAAATAAATAAATAAAGGGCCTTACAGTAAAAAATAAATAAATAAGTGTCTCCTCATTTTCCTGGTTATCTATTAAATGTTATCATACTTTATTAAAGATTTAAAGATTAATCTTGAAAGAGAGAAGAAAAATTATGTATCATAGATGTACAAATATAAGGCAATTTTACTTATTTCCCAAAGTTTAGGAAAACAGGGGTCACCTCCTAATCAAATCCTTATCTAAGCACTATATTACTATTTTATTATCTAATATAAAGTTTTGTTTGGAGAAAATATGTTGAGTTATAACAACTCCATTATCATTGGTTTTAAGAGCTTATAGGTATAATCTATCCATATCTGTTTTTGAGAGTAAATTTCAATAGTAATTATTTCTTACAATTCCAAATGTTCGATATGATTATACAAAAGTCTATTAAAGATAAAATTAAGAGGCAATGTTTGGGGTGGTTACATGCTAGGGATCAAAAGGATTCACCTGCAGGACAAGCTTTTTAAAAAGTTTATATCCCATCTGATTCAAATGTATGATATGTCAAGATCATTGTACTGTCATGTGTAACTAATTAAAACAAATTTTAAAAAGTAAAAAAAATATAATAACTGTCTCTCTATTACACAAATGACATTTGCAGTTTGGCACAGAATTTCTAGTGAAAGAATAGTAGTATTTTTACCAAAAAAAAAAAAAAAAAAAAAATATATATATATATACTGAGGTTCAAAAAATTAGGGTAGAAATTATGTGCACTGCAAAAATGGATGAGATGGCTCAAAACAAGAGATTTAGCAATGACAAATCACTGGTGCCAAATCACAAGTGAAGAATTTGAATAAAATCAATCAATCAATAAAATCAATAAATGGAAAAAATTAGTATTTTTAAATTAGTATCTTATATAACATGATTTTAAAATATGTATAGGGAAGTAAATTAATATGTTAAAAATTTAGGTAGAAAAAGCTTATATGTTTAAAATTTCTCATTGAAGAAAGAGGTAAATACCCATATCTTGGAATTATAATATATTATATTTATACAGTATTTTTTTACTCCTTTAAAAAAATGATTTGGGGGGTAACTTTTCAATGAACTCCCAAATAAGTCAAAAGTTTACCTCACATTCCTTTAAGGGTTCAATTTCTAACTTAATCTTTTCAATTTAATTCATTTAGTTTACATATCACCTTTCCTTCATAAAGTTCAAGGTAGACAAATTGTTTTAATTTTCTCCTCCAAAAGCATACATTTCCCAATCATTGTATTAATTAAACTTTAAAGTACATAGTCTTAAAACCAAACCCAGCAAATGGTTAGGAGCCTTCAGATAAGGTAATCTAATACAGTCTCATTGAAAGGAATTACTATTATAATTTCCTTATTGAAAGAAGATGTAAAGAAACCATGAACTACTTCCAGAGTAAAGTCATACTTTATAGACAGAAACACCTGGCTTCAGGTAAACACTTGATTCATTTGTGTTTGTTTGCTTGTTTTTTAATTCAAAGATAAATTTAATATTAAATTGTTATGTCTTCATAACATAGTTTAATAGCTACTTAAAAAGCATAAACTGCCCTCTCTTATAGAATGCATTATTTTCAAAAATTTTATTACATTTTAAGGAGTTTAATTTCTTGAGATATATCTAAAATAACATCACAACAAAAACCTCCATTCATACATCTAGTCATAATTGTGCATGCAATTAAATGTAAATGTTAGAGTTCCATAAAACCTATATGAATGGGTACAATAAGATTCAGAATAATAATGTATTAAGCTTATGAGTAAGAATTACTCCTATCCTTATAAGTTCCTGGATTCTTTTAACTTAATATAGTTAAGAACTGTGAATGTGGAAGTATCCTTAGAGACAGGTAGTAACACCATTAAGTATTAACTACTTCATAAACCTAAACGAAGAAGTAAGCATGCAGGTGCTACCCGCTACCCATCCAGGTAGGTTACAGCCAGAGAACTGCCTACAGAGGAACTGGGGGAGTGAAAGAAAACCTGACCAGTGCAAGGCACCAACTGCTTCCTTAAGCTTGACCAGCTTTGCTTTTCTTGTACTGTCATTACTTCCAAATTTTTATAAAAATTTTGAATTTAAACATGATCTCTCTTAATTTTTATGTTTGGGCAACTAAGTTCACTTTCAAAATACAGCCCAAACCAAACATTTCTGATTGTTAAATCCAGTTCACGAGCTATCAGTTTTTAAAATTCCACCTAACAGACTAACAACACACCTTACGATTTTCAGTCCCTGACAACTCTACCAATCAAAGTCAGGTCTTTTTACTTCTAAAATATATAGGAGGAAGAAAAAAAAAAAACAAAAATCATCATCCCGACGTTAAGAATGCCTAAGGATCAAATGCTCATCAACAGGCTGCTCTGCACCTCCGCTGACCAAGCCAGCATATGATTTCAGTAATGGGTTGCACAGATTTTGCCTAATCTGAGAAACCTTCTCATTTACTTCTAGCTGGCACTCTTATAAAAATAACATCAGAACAATATTTTTAGCCTCTTAAGTTACAGCAGGTGAAATACAAGTGCTCTTAAAAAATAAAAATAAAAAGGAAGAAAGAAAGCATCAGAATGTGCCAGATTCCCCATCCCCCACTGAAAATGAAGTGAGAACATCACTACTTCTTTTCCTCTTTTCTTTCTTCCCTTCCTCCATTCCTGCTTTTCTTTCTTCTTCCTCTCTTTCCCCACTCTCTTTTTCTGTCTCCTTTCCGCTTTCCCTTCCTTCTCTCTAAATAATTAGAAAGTCATCACCAGGGCTGGAGCACAGAACTGACTGCAGCACCTGGTTTTCTTTCTCCTTTTTCACTGTCATGGAAAACCCCATGTTAAGTCTGTCTGAAACCAAACCAAGAGCAACCTGGCTCTGAGGCCCACTGAGTCCCTGCAATGTCCAGCCATAGATCAGAAGCGGTAAAAAACAGTGAAGGATAAAAATCTCTGTTCCCTTTCACAAGGGGAAGCACCCCAAATAAAGTCAACAGACTGAAAGAAACGTGAAAAACACAACCGCTTCCAGGGCTTTTAAATCCGAGCTGCGTTTTCATTCACAGTGAGCTTGATTCAGCTGTGGCCAACTCCTGCAGGAGACTGTTGGAGCACAAAGTGCTGGAAAGTCCCCAGACAGGACACAGCTTGGGGAACTGTCCAGGAAAGGGGGCCCCCCAAATGCTTCTAGGCCTAGTAGCTGCAAGGCTTTTTGTAGTGACTTCCAACCTCTGAGAAAGGCTCCCAGCCCAGCAGCCTTGTAGGCAAATGGTTAGATCTGGAGACTGTTCAGCCTTCTGCAAAACTCAGAGTTCCAAAAGACACTTCCAGATTGCTTTAAGCTGTCTGTGACTTCGTGAAAACTAAAGAGAATGGGCCACCATTCTGTAAACACCACCCCCCCAACCGGCGCACACGCGCGCCACACACCAACGACTGTGCCATTTAACTTCAAAGTAGGTGGGGCCTTTGTAGCTGGTTATTAGATTGAGGGGTAGGGGGGCTCCTAAACCCCCACCTAGTTCTAAGTTAGAACTTGATGTTCCGACCAAGAGTACCCAAGCACCATTGGCTATTCAGATACACATGATTCATGGCCATTCACAGAAAGTTACACACCTCCTCAGGGATTTATCTGCATTACAATTAAAAAAAAGACATTTGATCCAAAAATCTTTTTTTTTTAATTTCAAGCAATGTTACTATCCAGGAAATCAAACCAACTATTTATTTTAAATATCGCAAATCCCGATACATAGTTACATATTTTAAGTTATTGCAAAAACATTTTCAACACACACACACACACACACACACAGTATTATATGCCAATATTCTAAATATTCTGGCACTTAACTCATTTTATTGCAAATTCTTTATTGCAGTTCTGGGTAAATATCTTTTCAGCTGTCAGGAAAGATGTATGGCTACAAACAGAGACTTCATGGCTAAACTGCCAGGGTTTGAATCCCAGC